CATGCACGCATCTGTATAATTAGGTATAATATATATACATGTATATATATATATATATACGTATTGGTTGTTTTAAAGACCCCGCGAGCTCCTTAGGCGTATCGGGAGAGCGGAGCAGTGTAGTACTTGCTGGTGAAGTGTATTACATTTCCCTACCATGTGCAGCTACAGCCCCAAGTAAGAAAGCAAATGCATTATTCGTATTATTTACCTGGAGTATAAGCCCAACAGAAACTCCCTCATGCAGTATATCGGCCATTTCTGGCTTGAAGAGCTGCGCTAGGCCTTCGTCGCCGCCTTCTACGGTATCTAAGGGCAAATGCAGCGGATCGTTTGCGTCTCCGCAGCATCCAGCGCATGCATTCCCCATTTTGAAAGATTGAATTGAATTCAAATTTGAGTTCTTCGCTACTCTCTGTGAAGGCCCTGCGGCCCGGGCGGCGAGCAGCTCCTAAACTGCGACGATTGCGGGGATTCCTTCGGTTTAAAATGACTTCGCGAACGCAGAAGTGACACAAATATGAAGAATGAATTAAAACAATCCAAGATTTACAAATATGCTCGAAGATCGACGCGGTGTCTATGCGGCTCGTTCTCAGGCAGGTCACTGCACTGACTGCGCCAGCGCCGGCTTCGGTGAGAGGAGATGCCGGAAAAGGCAGGAAAGAAGACCGAAAATACCTCAAATATCTTCAAAAAAAAGAAGAAAACCCTTATAAAGATAATAGAGAAAATATCCCGGGAAGAATAAATCATGCAGCCTTCGCGGCGCTCGGGCTTCCTTCCTCGCCCGGTTTGACAGGGTCAAGGTGTACGCTGACCACAGACGGCAACAGCTTAACACTCAAATGTCTACTTAATCTTATCTTTCACTTTTAATAGCTTCTTTCATCATAAAACAAGTCCCAATTACTATGGGGCTGCGGACACAGCAGCTGCTCAGTGTAGGCCTACGGTTTGCTGAAGGGTTGCTGCTGCGGCTGACCAGCAGAACTTCCGGTGGGCCGTAGCCGGCTGACACATACCGCGAGAGAAAACTTTCTAATTGAAACCTAAAAACATTGAACATTATATTTCTAATGGGATTCTCGTGCATACACGTACTACTTTAAAGCAAAACCGTACAACAATAGCACGCGTAGCAGACCCAGGCACGAAGGGGCTGCGAACGACGGCGGTACGGGAGTACATCTTCTCAGTACTCTCCTTCTTCCACGAGTACTACTCTTTTTGAAGGGAGAATCACTGTTTTTTGTTTTGAATTTAGAAATGATTTGATTTAACCATTTAAAAAGCTCCCAACTTCACCTCCACTGTTGCGCTGTAGCCAGACAGCACCTGCATAGAGGGCTTTCGCCGTCCGTACAGGTACCGCCAGTTCTTGCGTAGACATAGAAATTCAATAAAATATTTTCTATTGAATTGAATTGATATATTTATTGAAAATGCCGCCGTATGGATGAATTTTAGCCCAGTTGTTTCCATATTTCCCTCGTGCTGTAGGTACCCCGGGCTGCAGTTGCAGCCGATAGGCTGCAATTAGAGATAATTTTTCCCGTTGAAACATCCTGAAGAAAATAAAGACAAAACTAAAAAAGTGGGGTTTGAAACGGATTAATTCATTCAATGGGTACAGGCTAGCTGGGTCGCTGTAGCATGCTCAGCGTATGAAGCTGTTAAGTTTGTCTACTCGCGTGTGGGCTCTCTACTGGGGGCTAAGTACTTAGGGTCGCTTCATGCGGAAGAGGGGCTTTTTGCTGTTTCTATGAGGGGTTTAATCGAGACATCGATGTAATAAGGTAACCTGCAGCATACTAGAGGCCACCAAGACGCATTTTACAACTCCTTTGACTGAACTCTTATTTTACTTCTTTTAAAGACAAAGATTGTCTTCGTCTAATAGAAAGGACTGCCAGTGAACTCAGAAACGCCGCACTGCTAGCTACCCTCATAGCTAACCTGCTTCATATATATATAAATATATATATAAAGTTGCTTGTTGAAACAAAAGAAGCAAAGATTTCTGCAATTCTCTCTTGTTTCATTTTGTGGAAAGAATAACATTCTTCTTTTCGAGCGATCTTCGGGGAGGCTAGGTGCCTCAACATATGATAGAAGGCGTCGAGGTACAACCCGTAGAGTGCTTCTCTGTAGCACCGTGATGGTGTAGGAGTTTGTCTGTCTACATCTGCGTGCATGCAGGCTCGCTATGCGCGTATGCTGCTGCGTACAGTGCCACTGAGTACAGCAAAGGAGGCTGATTATACTTGTACGTGAGGCTATAGAAAGAGAAACGACTCGCAGTGAAATCGAACAAAGCGACGCCCCTTATATGGCAAGTGGACCACTGGTCTGGCCACACTCAAGGCCTGCTACTGTGCGATAGGGGACCTCAACTGCAGCAGAACAAATAAGCAGCAGCAGCAGATGCAATTTAATGTCTCCTTCCGCGTTTTTGTTTTCGTTCTCTGTGTCTGGGGATCCGCTCCCCCTCACGAGCCCCTTCCCCTACTATCGTGCGCCTACCCTATTTATTTACCTAGGCAAAGGCATAGGGGGCGTTTGCTGTCTTCTAGAGGAAGAGTGGAGGCAGATATATTACACTTACTGTAGTTGATTCTTTATTTATATCTACTTGCTGGCATTCTCGGTACTCACGGCCACGTACATGTCTAGCAACTTTCTAGTCTCGCTATATGCATCGAAAGGGGGCTTGGATACGCTTTTACGTGGGGTTGTCTCGCCAAAAGAGCTGCAGTATCTGCTGCAGCAGGTGCCGCAGCAGGTGTTGCAGCAGCTGGTGCAGCCGCTCGCGAGAAGCTGCTGCCTCGCCTCAGTGGCTGGTGGTCCCAGGACACCTAATGACTGACAGGGGTGCGGGGTGCATTAAGGGTAATGTCTTGTTGCAGGTATTTCAATTTTATTGCAGCTCTTGACTGTCCTCTTCTACAATAGAGATGGAAGACGCTCCTTCCGCTATGGTTCAATTAACTGTCCAGAGCTTCGAACAACTTATGGTGAGTGCAGCGGAGAAATAAAGGAAGAAGCTTTTGACTCTGATGATATACAGCAACGAAATTAATACTTCATCTGAATATAAGAAGGGCTTCTGCTGTAGATTTGCTGCTAGGGCTTTGGGGGGTGAGAGACATTCTATTTGTAGGCATAGGGTATACTATAGAGTATAGAGTCCTTGAGCCCATAGACCCACTTATACGCACTTTCCTTCACCAGAAAGTATTTAGCTTTCTAGTTTTGTTCTGAATGAGTTCATTTGAGTAAACTTCAGTGGGTATACTCATCTCGAGTGTATGCAGAACGGCCTCAGACGACGCCGAAGTCCTCAGCCCCCTCGCCGATCTAATAAGAAGACTTTTGAGAATACTTTTTCAGAATTTACAAAATAAATTAAAATGAAAAATAAATATTAAAGTAAAGTGAAATACATTTATCCCGTACGAGTACAGCTTACTAGCAACCGCAGCCTTCTCTCTACTTTTCTCTCTCTGCAGCCTTCTATATCTACACCCTAAGAAAAACCTGCTACAGTAAAGCAAGTTTTTGCTTTTATTCCACATTTAAATGTATTTATTTTGTTTTATAGCGGATTTAAATAGCATTTTCAATCGTTTTTCTCTCTCGTTCACCTACCTATTGTATACAGACCGCACGGCTCTCAGGTCCCTGATGATTTTTCTGTAGTATTTGTTTTGTATTTGCTGGAAGTTGTCGTGCCCTCCTAAGTGAATTCAGCAAAATGTCATCGGACTTTGAATGGGCAGCAGATTATGCGGCCCTCTGCTCCTCTTACCCCTTCTCTGTTGCCTGGGGGCCCCATGGGAAGGAGTTGAGGGCCTCTCAGCCAATAGCTGCGGGGCAGACGCTTCTCTTTGAGGCCCCTTTGCTTGCCTGGCCAGTGAAGGCCTCTGCTGCTTTTAATTCCTTTTGCTTCTGCGAAAATTGCCTCAGGATCCGCCCCTTCTGCGCTCACCCCACACAGCACAAACTCAAGCAAAGGCACGCAGAACAATACCCTGCAGCAAATACAGCAGCAGATGCAGCAAGGCACAATGGTGCGGGGGTGCTAATCGATGCACCAGATGCTCCTGCTGCTTCAGCGCCTGAGGGGGAGGAAGAAGAGCCGGGCGTCTGCGTGCACGACCCAGAAGGAGGCGAGCCCCTTTGGTTTTGCAGCTCCAGATGCTACCACCAGGCATGCGGGGCCCCCAACTCAGGATACGTAGAAGGGGGGCCTCCTGATGGTGCTGCTGCTGCTGGTGTGGGGCCCCGCAGCAAGCGCAACCTCGACGGCTCGCTGATGAGCCCCGCCACGCCCAGCAGCAACAGCAGCAACAGCAGCAGCAGCAGCAAATGGGAGGAGCAGCGCGAGTTTGGGTGGATGGAGTTTTTATCTTTTGGGGCTCTTTTGCGTCTGCGGCATTATGATCAGCAGCAGCACGCTGCTGCGGACTCGGACGCAAAAGGAAATGAAGGGGAAGTAGGAGCAATGAGGAGCGATGGGAGTGTACAAAGAGCAGCAGCAGACGGCGCAGCATGCAAGACAGAAGCAGCTGAAGCAAGTCTAGAGAGGTGGAGGGCAAACAGGCAAGAAAGCAGCAATGAGAACCCCATAGGAGTGGAGGCGTTGGGCCGTGCAGTGGCTCGCGTAGCTGCAACAACAGCAACACTCAAGAACGCATTTAAACTAGATTTGGAATCAGCATATGCAGAGGCATGCAGACCCTTTTTGCGGCTATCTGCAGCAGCAGCAGCGGAGGTGTTGGGGGCGTTTGACTTGCAGAGAGCGCAGCAGCTGCTGCAGCAGCAGCTGGGGGCCCCCCTAGCGCATGCACTGGGCCCTGAAGCCGCAGGGGCCCTCTTGGGAGAAAACGCATTGGCATTTTTCTATGGAGGTCTTATGAGGAATGCACAGGCGCTGCTGCTGTGGGGTGCTACAGCAGCTGGCAGCCTCATGCTGCTGCGGGGGGCTGGAGTGTACGTGTTGCAGGCCTGCTGCAACCACAGCTGCAGCCCCAACTGCAGCGTGCAGAACGAACAAGATGCGTTCATTGCTCTTAAGGCAGATAGAGACATTCAAGAGGGAGAGGAAATCACCATTACTTACGTTCCTCTGGACCTCTCCGCCACACAAAGACAGCAACTCCTCAACAACTACCAATTCACCTGCAGCTGCAGCAGATGCGCAGAAGAAATGCAGAAAGAACAGCACGTGCAACAGCAACAGCAGCAGACGCAGGTGCAGCCCCAGTAGCAGCAACAACAAGAACTGTGCAACACATTCACTGTATTGGCGGCACAGCCGTAAGGGAGTTTGTATCCCTGAAGCTGGCTTGCGTCTCTGCCTGTTTTTACGTTGTACTTCTTTCATCTAACAGTAATTCGGTTTCTCTGCACTTATCTGTCCTCTACAGCCTTTTTGTCGGCTCCCTCTGTCGTAATTAGATGCGCATGTTCTCCTTGGTGAGGCAAGCGAACCAGCCGAGATAGATAAAATGCCACAAAATAGCGGAATGGTGTTTATTATAGTCTTTCAGCAGGCAAAACGGTTGTTATAAAACGGAGGATTCCACCAACATAAGAACACTGAACTGGTAACGGGTCATAGAAACTTCTCTTAAGGAAGGAGGCTTTAGATTTAGAACTGTTTTTTTGCATCGGAAAGAATTACTGGAATTTTATCGAGATTGGCGGTGAAATGCCTATCGACTTCGGGGCTAGTTGGTTATCCAAAAGTATAATTTAATTTGATTAGGTATTTAAATTAAAAGATAAAGAAATACAAAGGCATTTAAAGCACCTCTAATAATTTCGTATCGAATACCAGGAAAATCTTGCACTTCTCTGCGCGGGCACAGGCGTCGTATTCCTTTTAGGCTTTTAAGAAGGCTGTACATACAATTTCCTCTTCATATGCAAATTTTTGTTTGTTTGGCGCTTTCTTGCATACGTAGTCCATTGTACAGTGTTCTTTAACTTCCCGCGATCAAAGAACGCCAGAAAAGGTAAACACCCTTTAAAGCTTTCAGAGCCACCACGATCATATCCTATTCCCCTTCCGCCTTACATTCTTACACGCTTGTTACTCTCTCGCTTTGCATGCTTATAGCGGTTAACACCAACACGAACAATAGGTATTACTCTTTTCCTTACCTTAGGGCTTCGCCTCGAACGTTGGGCGGTCAGCCTTTGCGGAGGAACTCACAAAACACAATGCAACAGCTTCCTTCGAGGCTGGTTACTCGCGTATTTAAATCGTTAAAGATTAATCACCAAGAAATCATAACGATGGAGTGCTTACATCTAATTATGCGCCTTATTTGCTGGTTGAGAAGAGCAATCAGGTACGGCTCGAAGCGTTGTGCTTGTGCCACTGGCATCGGCTCTCAGACAGCCTTTCTCCCCAATGGAAGAGGCGAAAAAATAAGTTTATTATAATGATTATTCTTTATATTTTATTTTTCTGCTAAGTTTCAGTGGCCGTTTTCACTCGTATCTATCCACTGAGGCCGCCATGCCAACATGCCTTTTCGAAACAGTCGCCCGCATCGCCGTCGCGTCATCTGTTTCACTTGTTGGTCCTAAAGCACCGTGCATAAAAGCAAATTTTGCTGTGAGTAAATTAAAATTTGTAAAAGTAGCAAGCCATTATTTCAATTTGTTGCAAAAAAACCTACTTAGGGGCAAATCGATGCTATTGTGGCTGTGCGGGGGAGCCAGCGGAGAGTGGTGACCTAAAGGAATCGTTTCTCTTGTAGCATTTCCGCATGCAATGTGGTGAAAAAAGAGTCTAGAAGACGATTGAAATTTAAGAAAAATTTATTTTAATAAATTGAGCAAGCATTTTATGTTTTTATTCCAGTTTCCAGCGGTGGCTCGACAGTGCACGCGTGCTTCGATTCGTAGGGGCCCTGTGCACCCTCTCAGCTACGCCCAAATTTCTCAGCTGGTATTGCCTGCGTGAAGTTGCCTTTTATGTTTAGCAAAATAGTTCAAGTAGAATAAATACGTTTATCAGAGAGGAGGAGCGTTCCTCTTGGGAAAAAGGCAAGACTCTACAGCCGTTACTCGTATTAACAGGGTTTCGGGTGTTCGTGTTTGTCTGGGTGTACAGAGAAGAGCAGTGTTGTCTTCACAGCTACACCAATTTAATGGTTGGTGTTTGCAGGCTTTTCCTTCTTCGGGTGCCGGTAGGACTTGTATTAGTCCTGTTCCCTCACCATGGGCCTGTAGTTGTTGCGCATGTATGTGTTTAGGGTTTTCGTGTAGAAGCCATAAGGTGCATTCATCACCAGCTTCAAAATGTCGGTTCAAAGCGTCTTTGATGCTTTCACCCACGGGGCCGCAGCGATGGACGGCCGGACGTTCGTGAAGGTGTGCAAGGACTGCAAAGTGTTCTGCAAGCTGTATACCACAACTGACGCGGACCTCATATTCGCAAAGGTGAAGCAAAAGGGAGCCAAGACCATCACCGAGGCTGAGTTCGAGCAGGCTTTGCAGCTGATAGCAGAAAAAAAGAAAATCGGATATCAGGAACTCGTCTCTCAGCTCACAAGCGCCGCTGGGCCCGTCTACACTGGCACCAAAGCCATGGCTAATAAATTCCACGATGATAAAAGCCTCTACACCGGAGTGCATGCACACGGGGGACCCAGCACAAAAGATGATAAAGTTAATGACCTTTCTAACCTCCTTGATCGCAGCCCTGCAGACGTCCGCGGCGCCAAGATGTAAAACACAAACAGGGTCTCCAGATGAGCGCATCCATGATAGATGAACGAATCTCCACGAAAATATATACATGGTGGTACATTGATATCATTTCAGTGGCTACTTTTTCATAAAAACGACCATGATATACAGTACTGCTGCTGCCGCTTACACACTGGTTATTTGGTGTTTCCATCGTTGTACAAAGCTCAGTATATCGAAATAACCTTAAATCTGCACTCGAGTCCTTCTCTAGAAGCGGCTAACAACTCAAACTCCATTTTCATTACCTCAGCCTATGTCCATTGAAGCCGCTCCTTTGCTTTAGCGGGGCGTTTGCTGCAGCTGTTGCAACAACGCAACTGCTACCACGACGGCGTTTGTTTCCTACTACTTCCCCTGTCACGGCACCACTTCGTATTAGAACGCGCTTTTGTATAGCCGCCAGCTTCAGCCCCAATTAGCGAGCGCAGTACAGAACTTGCTGTAGGCGGGTACCGGTGCAACAGCGACTCTCTCAGTCGCTGTTGCGTGTATTCCTTAACAAGCTCTTCATCCTACCACTGCTGCTACTAATCAGAATCTCCAGCATAGCGTCTACAGCTATGTTAAAGGCGGCCTGCGTGTTCCAGCTGCGCACTCCGTACGTGCAAGATGCACTCTATAGCAACTACGGCTTCTACATATATAATATCTGTATTGCTGCGCTCAAAGAAACACCACCACTATTAAGACTTCAAGGCGCCTGAGGCAAGAGGAATACAGAAAAAGTTTGGGTTGAGAGGCTCCGCCCGAGGTGCAGCCGGGTGATTGTCCACGTGTAAACCTCAAACCCTAAACCCTAAACCGTTTGCTGCTGCTGCTGCTGCTGCTGCGCTGCACGCAGTTTCTCTCTGCGGGCCTTCGCTTCCATTTGCTTCTGTCGCAGCTCCTTGAGCTCTTCTTCGGAGGGGCCTGCACCAGACATCAATGCCTTGGGGGTATGCACGTAAATGCGACCTTACACGCATATCATATGCGCCTGAAAGTGTGTCTAACTACAGTTAACATATACTCAGATTCATCTGCAGGTATAATATATATGCCCATGCATCATCATATAAAAGCGCATATATATATATATATATATATATATATATATTACTCAGCACGATAATGCACGACTATTTGCGGAGCGTGACGAAGGAAGGCTTTCTTGAGCGGCAGCAGCAACAGTAGCAGCACGTGCTGCTGGTGGCTAAGCAGCGAGTGGAGGCCTCACCTGTTGCAGCCTTCTCTGTGTCGGGCTGTGCTGGGGCTGCTACCTGTGTGGCCTCTGTGGGGTTTGTCTGTGCCCAGGGTTCATCATATGGGAAGGGGTATTCTTCTTCTTCGTGGAGATCTGGGGGCCCCCTAACGTCCTCGTCCATGTAAGAAGGGCCCCCAGTCTCCGCCTCTTCCCCTTCTGCTTCTGCTGCTGCTGCTGTTGTCGTGCCGCCTCGCGTCTGCTGCTGCAGCAGAGCATACGGGTCTGGGGGGCAGCCTCTGTCCATCCACTTCTTAAGAAAGCCTGAGAGGTGGAGTTGCACGAGCCGAGGTCTGTGATGCGCCCACAAGTCGGGCTGGGCGCTGATTTTATCGAGTCTGCGGGCTAAGCGTGAGATGTGTTCATTGTACGGGTAGAAGGCCACGATGCCTTCTCTCACTTCTCTCAACAAAGTATTCAAGTCCTCTCTCAGCTCCAGCCTTTCCTCCCCCGCTAGCCGCGCCAACTGTCGCCTCCGGCTCCGCACTGTTATTTCCGCTTGCAGCAGCTCTGGCGTTCGTTGTGGCTGCTGGCGCTTCTGTCGGGCGTTCATTGCCAGCAGCGCCTGCGCTGCTTCCAGTTCCTTCTTGTATTCCTTCTTCCTCACCTCCCGCGCAGCATCTCTATCAAAGAACTTGAATTTATGCAGTTTGTCACGCGCGTAATTCAAATTGCAGTATAAAGACAAAAGGCCATCCGCAGGTGCCCCCTCAGGAGACTGCAAGAAAGAGGCAGCGCTCAGCGGGGGCTGGCGGGTCCGCCTCTGCCCGCGACGGCTTTCTGCTGGTGTTGCTGCTGCTGCATCAGCAGCATTCTCCTTCCCTTCTTGGTCTGATTCTCCTGGGACGGAGAAGGTGCCTGCAGAGAGAGCGCACGGAACTGCTGGGGAGCACTAGAGAACGATCCAAAATGGTTACAGAACTACTGAAACACAGGTTGGCGTCTGCGGAGCCCAGGCAGTACATACACCGAACATCATAGGAGAAGCTGCAGAAGAGAATATTGTATCTGCATGCAGGAAATGCTTTTGGACGTTTTCCCGCTTGAGGAGTTCAGAAATGTCAGGAGCTGAAAAGAGGGCATTTCACCCGTTAGTCTCGCGCTGCTGTCAACTGTATGAACAGGAAATACTCAAGGAAGCACTTACTCGACCTCCTTCCCTTCTCATCAGCGGAAGGCTTTTTGTCAGGCTTCCCATTCAGGTAAAGCGCGCGGTCTCGATCGCGCCGGTCCCACTCGTCTTCTTCCCCCCCAAAGAGCTCAGGGTCATTCCAAGCCGCAGCATCGCGGCCAGTGCGACGCTTAGATGTTGAGGGTGAGGGGGAAAAGCCAGCAGCTCCGTCGCCGCGTTTGTCTGGCTGCCCACGAATCCCCATAGCGGCACCAGCGAGGCGTCAAAGATCTCCGCCGGGACGATGGATTACGTGGAGACACAGTTACTAAGGACTTAAAATAAGCATGAAAAGATGAAAAACGGAAGCGCGAGAAAAATCAATCATGGGGAAGGCTAGGCTGGCGAGATTTCCTCGTTACGCCTTGTCCCACACCCCGCTCCAGAATGACCCCCCAGCAAGCATGGCCGTATAAGACCTTGTCTATGGATATGTACACTAAACAGCACAATATTTTTAATTCAGCAGAAATTCGCCCGCTAATGAACTTTTCATTATCCCAGAACAGACCGCCACTGTGAAAATACTGCTGCAGGTAGAACCCAGCACCAGTGCCTGGAGATGCAGTCGTTCTGGGGATCACACACCCACGCACGCAATAACAACACTCAAGGGCGAAGCTAATGTACAAAAAAAAAGCAATTATCCATCTTTATAAAAGCCAGCCTAAATTTAGAAGGAGCAAGACACCGGTGGTGGTGTTTGGGGCTGCATGAACGCAACAACAATGGTTGCTGACCTTGCCAGCTACGGCTCCAGCTCTAAGAAAACCTCCACTTTGGCTTCGATTAGGAAACATGATACATTAAGAGGCATCAATATAATGTAGCAGCAGGCTCATTTAACACCTACCTTCGTGAGAATTGGAGCTGAATGTGGTGCTGGAGTAATTGCAGGGGTTTTGGTAATCACCGACTACTAACCACGAGCACTAGCCGCCATCTGGGGAAGAGGGACCGGTGTTATTGTTCTGTAATGAAGTAGAATATTATAAGAATATAATATTACAATATATTACCGGCCGCATAACCTTCCCAAATGGTCTCCCACCCTTTCTGGCTCAAAGATATTTTTCCCCACGTTGTGTCCATCAACTGTTCATGGAACAAACGACGTGATTATGGTGTTTTGGTGAGTGAGAAGCATCGACAGAATATCAAAAAGTTATTAAAAAGTTAAGCTTTCTTCTGCGCCTAACCTCTGCGTGAACACTATCTGTATCGAGGGTCCCCGACCCGAGGATCGTCGTATACAAAGAACGTGATTATTCATCGTTACAACGGCGACCCTAAATTTAGAACGTGCAAGGTACCGGTATTGGTGTTTGGGACTGCATGATGGCAGTAGAGCCAAAGACGTAAGATAATCGTATTACCCACGAAAAACCTGTACTCCCCTCGCCAGCGGTGGTATAAAGCCCGCCACTTGCGTCCCTTTTAGCAAACTCCTGATGAAAGAGCTGCAGCCCCACATTAAGCTGGCAGCCAACTCCACGCATGCCGGTAGTGCAGCAACCAGCTCAGATATATTCAACGAGAATCCAATCCTTTCCTTGCCTTCAGCACATTACGTTTTGTGCTACTTAGGGCTAAAGATTTAGGATTGGGACTGGGGCGGACACGCGGAACTCGTGCACTGTGGCTCTTAACATTAAAGCTAAAAGCATGGCGCTGCCTGGTGTAGAAGTTGAGGGGCCCGGGGCCCCTGTAAAACTGTATTGTGTGTAGCAGTCCCAATGCATGAGCTTGCGCATGCTTTGGGGCCCTTTGGAGGCGCATGCACGGGTGGTGGCTGCTGTTATTCCGTGTTGCTTTAAAGCGTTCATACAGGGAAAAGGGCTGCCTGCTTTGGCGTCGCCACTCTTTTCTTCCTGCAGCGGGGAACGCTTACTTATGCAAGCATGCATATATTAATAAGCATATAGAATAAAGGTACAAAAGCAGGCACACATGTAGACGCTGCACATGGAAAGCCCCAATAAAGTAATGCAAATGCATTTTACTGAGTCGATGCGGGTAGTAACTAAATAATGGCGGGTGGAACGGTGTAGATGCGTTGCTAATGTTTTTGTGTTCTTAAGCCAAACACCAGCGGGCGATCTACTCACGCACGCTTGCGTTCATTAATAGAAAGAAACAGACACTTCACTAAATATCTCCTAAATATCTTCACTTGTTGCATTATAGTAGCAGCACTACTACTACCTGGGCGCGAAGGTACACCGAAAAACCATTCGACATGTTGTCAGATAGCGTATACAGCAGATGAGCACAATATTATACTTTGCTTTTAAACTAGACCATATTGGATAAAAATATTATACCTAAATGCATGCAACGCATATACTGTATGCACAGACTTCCACAGAAGCATAGGTGATGCATAAATAAACACAGATACGAGCACAACCGAGGTGAGTGCATAGCTCTGTGTGCAAATAACTAAGTATAGCCATGTACACGTCTAAATGCACTCCAGAGTTTACTCATTCCCCTTCCACATTGACAGTTTGCGTAAGAGAATGTATAAATACGAGCACGCATAAATACATGTGTGTATATATACATGAATATCCACCTGCACAAGCCGGGCGGTGCGTTTTACTGCCATTTTGCTACAAAGTCCACTTTAGGGTTTTTCTTTTCCATTTCTTCCATAAACCTCTCGCATTCCTTTACTTTTATAGGGTCCTCAGAGGCCTCCGGCAGCAGCTGCGGGAAGAAACCTTGCGCCGCCAAGGCCACGTCTTTTGAAAATGGCGTTCGCCCCACTACGTTTCCAGCTGTACAGACACCAGGCCCACACCACAACACCCACGAAATCGCGTTCAACGAATGTACGCTTTCCATTTATTTTCTACAGCAGCTACTGGTACTGCTCTCGCAACTGTTTCGGCTGTGCAGCAGCAGCCGGAGACGGCATGTAGAACCACGTAGGTGCTGTGCATTGCGTCTGTGGTGGACTTTTATTTGTGGGGAGTGCTTTGTATGTATATTCGCGAAGCTTTGTGGTTGCTACTCAACGTGACGCTGTTTACCTGGGCTGTACTGGCAGCCGACGAGAATGACCGGCCTATTGTGCTGGCACTTTCTATTGCAGACGACGTATGCGCATCCCACTTCCATGGAACCCTCCCACACCGTGGCAGTGTAGTGGCCCGTCATAAGCCCTTGTGCATGCATCTCGGTGCTGCACTTGGGACCCAAAACGCCGGTGCAAGGGTTTCCAATCTTTCCGAACCTGAATACACAGCAATAAACCACCAGAGATTCTTGAATGCGAAGCAGAGCGTCTACGAGATGCACTGCAGCGCGCGACATAGAGACCCTCTCATCACAAGACCTTGCTGAACTACACAAAGAGCTCGACTTGCAATGCAGGAACACTAAAATCGGGCAGGAGAAAATGTTGTGTATCGCGATACGCTATATATAACATTCTATAATATCGCTTTCATCCCTATGTCTGTCTCTTTGTCTCTGTCTGTCTCTGTCTCTGTCTCTCTCTCGCAAGTCCATGCATTGCCCTCTCTATATGCAGATGTGTGCATCCACAAAACTTGTATGGAGCCTCAAAGCAACCACTGCAGGGAATGCTCACGGGTTACCGGAGCCAACTCTCGAGTAATGGTGCACACAGGCATGCATGCACTGTGAACAAGTGCCTGCTTGCATATTCATACAAGGGAAAGGCTTACTTCCATGCATGTGTATCATGCATGGAAGTAAGCCTTTCCCTTGTCTGTACACCTCAAACAGCCGTACCTGAAGCAGTGGCCCTCAGTGGCCCAAGCGGTAGCCACTTTACGCGGAAATGAGCCCAGAGAGCAGGCAGTGTACAGATTCTCTCCCAAAGGGCTTTTCACACCCGGCTGAAAGACGCAAAACAGCGAAACTAGTTGAAGGAAGAGTAAGTTTGTTTACTCATCTACAGGGTGAACTGAAAATGCTAGACCCAGCGGATGATGTGCACAACAAGCATCACTAATGGCTACAACGCACAAAGTGTGAGTATACAACTGCTGGTGCTGCCACTGTTGATGCGGTTATCGTTGGGAGTTTTGCTAGTTGTGCTTCTGGTATTTGCACGAACTGGGGCTCCTCTTGCTACGGCTCACCAGTTCACGAGTATTTCTGGGAGAATGCTCCATACGGCACTGCTCATGTTCATCCTGTTGCCGAAGATAGTGTAACATATTGGCTGAAATGAGGGGGTTCCACTTGAGCGCCGTAATGCCATGCTTCTTTCTGATGGAGTTATGGTCCTCCAAAATATCTAAATGGAGCAGCACAAGGGCAAACGCACAACACAAAGACATCGATATGCTGGTTCTCCTGAACTACGCAAAAGGAAGCAAGGGAGTGCAATCGGAGTCACAATACAAAGAGCTAATATCAGGACTGAGGTAAACAATACACCATAGTGCGCATTTCAACAGCACAAACTATGCACGGCAAAAAATTTACAGGCAGGCGCTTGCAGTGTGTGCTGCTACTTACTCTTGCTGAAATCCGCCATTGTCACTGCAAATCAAACACAAACGCAATAAAAGGAAACTGATATTCTCTACAGGATATGTCAGTGAGCCTTAGCAGCAACACAGGGAGAGCTGAGGGCTTCCTGCGCTGCACTGAGATGGTGCTTCGCCTGATTTAAACAGGAGTCTTCAGCTGTGCCCGCGATGCCAACAGTTAATATACAAGTGTATAATGCTACACGTATGCTAAACTCAACAGTGTCAATTGTGTGAACCAACGAGCCGAACCCACAGCCAGTGCAAAGCACCTTCAAGCCATGGGCGGACGCAGAGCATTCGATAGATAGATACGGATGTGAATACGCTGGCGTTAGCTGCGCTTCATTTCACCCCAGTGTAGGAACCTAATTAAGTGTAAATGAGTGCTGTACATAGCAATAAGTATCCTAGTAGAACATTAACCACGAGACATCTCTAGTCGTCGCCTTTGTTTTGTTTACCTCACCCACAAGGCTTTCGATGAATAGGAAATAAAAAGGCAGGCGAGCGCAAAGAGAATAGCTATCTAATTAAGATAAATTTTGCTCACATTTTTCAAACCTGGAGACAAATTGAACATCGATGTCCCCTTCACAGGTACCTTTTCCTTCATCAAGTCTCTGGAAAAGGCGGAATTGCATCCCAACCCCAAAATCTCCCACCAGTCCCTTGTCGTTGTACACTCGAG